ATCAACAAGTACCTTTTGTTTCCTTCATGACTCTGAAACTACACTCTATTGTAGCCATTCTCAGAGAGATATGGACAGTCATAAGAAATAAAAGGTCTCTCTTAAGGATTTAGGGATCATCACATACTGTAGAATGTAGTATAGAGTGGAAAAAATTTACCTGCAGTCCAGATCAACATATGTATCTGCTATTTAATTGTTCTTGATTTATAGCATAAACTTTCATGAGGCTGGTGCAAGAATCATTCCCTTAATAATCATTATTTCTCTCTTAAAATTTGTTTTTTTTTTTAACCTCCAGCCTTCAATTGAATGAGTTGTTAAGAGTTCATTACAAATAAAATATTATTTAAACAATCTTACTATATTTAACTAGAAGTTATCATAGATACATAGATTACCTTAAAACCAGAGGGACCGTTACGTCAACTAGTTTAACTTGAATAATGCAGACAGTAGAACCATATCAGTTTCTCTTGTATTGAGCTCTGTAAACTTTATTTGACTGTAACTCATCATCCTACAGGCCAATTTTCCTTAATTTGATAATACAGGAATGGAGAATCTGCAACTTTTCTTGGTAATAGTGTGTTCACAGAATTAATTTTCTTTGCAGTTAAAAATGTATGCTATTATTTCTGTGGCCAAGCTGTTAAAGTTAATTCCAAGTTCCTTAAAGTTAATTTCACCTTCCATTTAATTTTCTTTTTAAAGATACCTAGAGCTTTGTTAAACAGATTCATTTGGGCGTGCAATTTCCATGGTTGTTTGCAGCCTAATGTTTCGTTTGCTCATTGAAGAAAAGCACAAATGAAATTGGCAAAGTGGGGTGTGATTTATGGTCCTGAAAAAAAAAATTTTTTTTTTTTTTTTTTCACTTTCTTAGTAGTAACAATGGCTGAAAGTTGAAGTAAAAAATCTGGGCGTTTAAAAAAAAGCATTTACACAGATACAAAGTCAAGTATTTACAATCAGAATATCATAATTTTTTAATTAAGTGAAAGTTAGAAACAAATACCCATTCTGTCAGGATATGGCTCTTGTGCTTCTGAGTACTTCAGTGTCACCAGTGTTGATCATATGGAGTTAAGGATCCATTCTCACATTTCATTTGGTGGATCAGAAGTAGTGTTATGATCTTGTCTTTACTTTTGTCTGAGAAAATTTGGTAATTGACTTTCTAATGATTTTAAGAAATATACTAAAATTCAAAAGGAGGTGGAAGACATATTGAAGAATGGGAAATATTTTGAAAGAAGTGCAAAGCATTTGAAAAGTAAGTTTTATATGAATTTTTGAAACAAGCTGGTAGAAAACATGGTATTTTTCCACTTATAAGCTGAATTCTCTGTGAATATTTCCTTTCATAATGAAGCTTATTACCCTAATGAAGTGCTAGTCACTGGAAAATAGTATAGCCTGAGATGAATTGGTAATGTTACCAAATCAGCACTGCAGTAACCACAGTGCTGTAGGTGGTATGGGGACAGAGAAAGGCTTTGAGAAAACCCCAGCTCCACTGGGCTTTATAATTCCCATGAGCTTCAGAACAAGTCAACTCTGGAAATTAAACTACAGATACTTTTTCTTTAAAAATATGGTTCTTGTTTCACCAGCCTCTACAGCTAGTTATTATTCAGATAAATACAAAACTGTGGCAAGTTTATTAACACTCTAAAACTTATAATGGAATGATTTAAATTTAAGTCAACTTTTTCAGATGAGAAAAGTCTATGGATCCTAGTACCTGAAGTACTGTGTCCAGTTCTGGGGCCCCCAATGTAAGAAGGACAGGGACCTGCTCGAGTGGGTCCAGAGGAGGCCATGAAGATGATCAGGGGGCTGGAGAATCTCGCATGTGAGGACAGGCTGAGAGAGTTGGGGTTGATCAGCCTGGAGAAGAGAAGGCTCCAGGGAGACCTGATAGCAGCCTCCCAGTGCTTACAATGGGCTACAGAAAAGCTGGGGAGGGACTCTTTATCAGGGAGTGTACAGACAAGACAAGGGGTAAGAGTTTTAAACTGGAAGAGGGCAGATTTAGATTAGATATAAGGAAGAAATTCCTTACTGTGAGGGTGGTGAGACACTGGCACAGGTTGCCCGGAGAAGCTGTGGCTGCCCCCTCCCTGGAAGGGTTCAAGGCCAGGTTGGACGGGGCTTTGAGCAACCTGGCCTGGTGGCAGGTGTCCCTGCCCATGGCAGGGGGGCTGGAACTAGATGATCTCTGAGGTGTTTCTATGATATGATTTTCTCCCCCAAGTCCAGGTAAGGCAAGCACAGAATGTTAATAAAACAAAACAAAACAAAGTTCTGTTTTCTAAATGATACACCAGATGCATTCAACTTCAGTTCAGCTGGCATATGTTTGATAAATATGAAGGACTTTTTTGCTTTGTTGCTTGCTTTCTCTTTGCCTCTGTATCTCACTGTATTTTCTTTCTAGAAGATACTCTAATACCAAAGTTTGCTAAATAAAAATCAAGTGTTATAATTTGATTACAAATGTTCAAGGAACTTTGTGTCATAATCAAGGAAAAGTTAGAGGAGCCTTTATAAAGGAATAGTAAATCATGGGAAAAACTGTCTCAATTATTTAGCAAATCTGAGAGTGGAGAATAGACTCTGGGATCCAGGAAATTCACATCCTGTCTGAGATTCTGACTTTATATTCCCAAACTGATAATGGATTCTTAAAGTCTTTGTTATTCTAAGACCTATTCAAGGTGTCTGGGCTGGAAATCACTGTGTCTCAGTATTCTTCACTTTCCCATTTCTAATAGAAGAAACCAATGCTGATTATCAGACTGGTAGTCTATCCATGCAACACTAGTCAGCAAAAGTTTAGGAGCTGAACTCTAAACGTTCATCTTGCCTTGGCATGACAGTGAACTGCTGCATCACTGGAGCTAGCTTATTAGCTTGTTTATGACAAAAAAAATAAAGCAATATGTAAATATGTCAAAATTAATATCTGTGTGAAACTTTCCCATATACAATGAGAGAGTTAGAAGAAAGACTATGTGTTATTTATATCCTTCTTGAACTTTAATTTTGCTTTGATTCTGGAAAGTTGCATTGCATTTTTATTCCTCTGTCACAAGGCTATTGTGAAAATTAATTATAGAATGTTTCTAAATGGTTTGTCAATCAATGATAACTATCACTGTAATTTATGTTAATTGAACACCTACAAACTTTTTTTTTAGTAGCAGAAAATTTGAAAGGTCAATATCAGCCTAGACTTGGCATAGAATTCAAATCTTTTTTAAAAAAAATAAACCCACAACCCAAGACCAAACAAAATTGAATCAAGTAAAGAGGATGGTAATCAGAAACTCTGGATACAAATGTTTTCTTCCTTTAGGGGAAAACTCATTTCATTCATTTTACATTTTAAACATTCCCTTGCAGTGATGTGAATTCAGAGCAACATCATTGTTCTTGCATACAATCTAAGAAATTAAATGGGCTGGAAGGGAAATACCAGACTACATTATTTTGCATTCTGTAGGAAATGCAAAAGAACATATCATAAAATGGGCTCCAACAGTGTAATGGTGGATACTGAACTAGGACCTGGAAAACAGATGAGGGTGGAATAATTATTTCAGTTTTACTATTATGAAAGCTTAAAATAAATTATCCAGAATTGTTTTAAATTAAAATCTTTAATTATAATATTTAATCATGATCTTTCCTTTATTTTACTGTTTCTTTTCTTTCTTTTCATTGTCTAGGAACCTGAAAAAACTGTACGTGTACACTTGGTTGCCTAAATACCTTTATCTGTATACTAGCCGCACTTCTTTTGTTGGTCCTTCATGACTTCTAAATCACTAATGCCCTTTACAGATGGGCAGTTTTTCAGTTTTGTTACCATAAAGGAATTATCATCCTATTTCTGTTTGCTGTGCTCTCTGAGAACTATGTCTAAACTGGTAACATTTAGAAAAGGAAAATATTTCATCTGCAGACATTTTTTCCTGCTTGAGCCAAAATTCTTTGTCATATTTGCCTCTATCAGTTTATGTCTTTACATATAAATGTGAAGAAACCAGAAATCCAGTACAGAAACCCTAGTTAAAACAGATTCCAGCTTTAAAAAAAATTTCTTATAACGGAGAATGTAAACAGTTAATTGATTGTGAATGCTGAATATTTGTAAAGCTCCTACTAGAGACATGTTTATTTTTTTATATTAGAAGTTTAATCATACCTACCTGACACCTAGCTTTTTGCCTGCCTATGTAAGCTTTGAGGGGTTTCCTTGGCCCTATTAGCAAAAACTCACTACCTATGTCTCTCTGCCAGTAGAAACTCACTGCTTGAATTTGCCAATGTCATCCCCAGACATAACCATGAAATTATGTTGTAATGAGCAGAGGAGGAACAGACATGGCTCTTGCCCAAACTGGTCTGCAGGAAAGTAGTTAGTGAATTCTTACTCTGCAGCCTTTTCCAGTTTGGATTACACTTGTAACAAGACTAATTCTTATATTCTAATAATAATTACAAATTAATTTGTCTATTTTTCCCTAAGAAGAAGGGAGATATCAGTGCATAGTTCTGTGTAGCCACAAAAAAAAGGAGGAGTTCTCAGACCTATAGTTTTCCTCCTGGTGAATGCTAAGAGGTGCAGATTAACATCAGCACCATGTGAGTGAGGTTGGACCCTTTCACAGAGTATGTTATGTCTGCAAGAAGATGGAGGCTATTCCATTTTATATTCTGTTATAACCACTAATAAACATGTCTCCTGAACCACCACCACCCACTTCATCTAAGTGGTTCTTTTAGTTTTTACTCCTATTCTTTGAATGATCTTGTCCTAGCTTACACCACTTATATGTAGACAGGTGTGAGGGTTTTACCATCCTCACTTTAATGATCATTGTTAATGAATGAAATACCCAAAACCACTACCCCCTATCACTTTGAAGGATTCTGCAGTTTTAGTCTAGTTTTATATTTTCAGCCATAATGCCCTAGCTTGTACTTACCTATTAGTATCTTCTTCTTCATCATTGTCTGCTAGTTCTTTCTTTTTACCTTTAAGGTCCAGTTCTGTACCTTTGTTGAAATCTCCTTAGCAGCTTTAGCTCCTTTTGAGATGAAAGAAAATTGGGCTCCTTAAGATCTACACCTTTCTAGATCTTATTCTCCTGTTGAACTTCCTCCTTCTGGATTTGGATATTATTTCTTTATTGTCTGCCGCGGCCGAAGACGGGGAAGCAAGACACATCAATATGATGAGTAAATCAGCTTCGGTTTATTCCGTGATATGTTCTCTTTTTATAATGTCCTAATGTTCCGTACATGCAATCACACGCCTTGTCAAGCAAGCTCATTGGCTTATCACTACTGTTCACGCGACAAACACAAGCATAACATACATTCTGATTGGATAACAAGTTTTGCATACTTTGCAATACTTCAGCATTTTTGCGGTAAGCACATCCCTGTTCAACATCCTGTTTTTCACAACTTTAAGCAACTTCCTTGTTTCAAGGACAGTATGTCCTTCATATCTTCTGATACACATTTCTTACTGTTAATACTCCGGCCCCAGCAATTGTCCTGGTTTCTGCTGGGATAGAGTTAATTTTCTTCCTCTTATCTAGTACACTGCTGTGTTTTGGATTTATTGTAAGAATAACACTGATAACATGCTGATGTTTTAGTTGTTGTTAAGTAGTACTTAGCCTAAGTTAAGGATTTTTCAGTTTCTCACGGTCTTCCAGAAAGCAGGTGCAGAAGAATCTGGGAGGGAGCACAGCCAGGACAGTTGACCAGAACTAGCCAAAGGGATATCCCATACCGTAGAACATCATGCTCAGTATATAAACTGGGGGAGGGGTTGCCTGGACAGGAATGGATTGCTGCTTGGGCGTTGGTCAGCTGGTGGTGATCAATTGCATTGTGCATCCCATGCCTTTTATTTGATGTTGTTTATATCTCTTTTTTTTATATATTAATTTCAATTACTATTTTTATATTTTATTGTTATTGTTATTATTATATTTTATTTATTAAACTGTTTTTATCTCAATCCGCAAGTTTTGCTTTTTTTTTGGTTTTCCTTCCCATCCCACTGGGAGCAAGGAGATCTGAGTGAGCAGCTGTGCAGTTCATAGTTGCTGGGTGGAGTTAAACCATTACATTAATCTAACTGGCCTAATTGTCTGGAACAATTTGAAACACCAACACTCAATTTTTCATTATTAATGGCAAATCTTCCTGTTTTCAGTTTTTAGAACATCAGCATTGACACAAGGCTATTTCTAAAGTCTTGTATTTTCTTCTAATTATTCATTTTAGATGTTGAACTATAAACAAGTAGTTGTGACAAATTGGAATACGAATGAGGGATAAAATTACTGACATGTTTGAGATCTTTGTCTCACATTGTATTCTACTTTTCTTCAGCTAAACTGTTGTGTCAGCACAATGGAAATAGTCTGCCTTTAAAATAAAATAATTATTATGCCATATCAGGTTTTATCAATTTAAAGCACTGTCTATGTGTAAAACTATTTAATCTCTTTACTAATATCCAAGATATATCTACAGTAATAAATTAGTTTATGGAATCCATTTTGCCCTAAGAAGTATGGCATAAGTGGTAAATAATTCCCTATGAACCATCTGAAAACAAAACTTGGAAAAAATTAATCTCCTTCTACAAGCCTTATTTTCTTTTGTGTAAGACTGACCCTAAAATGTCCCTGGGATTACACAAAACAGCATTTGAAAGATTCAAGCACAAATATATGCAATTCAAAGCATTTAATATTTCTATATTTTGATGCAGAGTAGCATGCAGCTGCTGTTGTTTCTTTTAGAAAAGACTGCAGTCAAAATCTTCATCATATATCATATTCTGTGAGAATATTATATTAAAGCTTCAACTGTTTCATTATTAGCTGTTTTGTTAAGATTTCTACAGCGTCTCTTTCTTTTTGGGGGGGGGAGAGCTTCATTCTGGAGTCCATATTTACATGAATAACTCCTTCAACATGTGAACAGTCCCGCCAGTTTCATGGTATGCACTCAAAAGAGGAGATACAGTCTGCTATCTTAAAAATACATTTCTAACTGTAAGTGCGAATATATAAAAATTCTATAAACAAAAGAGATTACTGTTCAGAAATGTAGATTTATGTAAACACTGTATATGTGTGCCCAATGGATAAAGAACATTCTTGTGAATACACACCTGCTGATATTAATACATATTCGTATGGAGACATCTTAACTAGTACTTTTTTACTGCAAAAGCTTAGAAATACTAAAGACTGTTGCCTTAATTCAAACAAGTAACAATTACCTCATCAGCAAAGTATTGAACTGGAGTCCCTTGGTAAGGAGGACTTCAGTTTAAGGAGGGTTTTGAATTCAGTTGTCCAGGGCATTACTGACACAATCTGGCCAGGATATGTTACCTGGAGATGGATTAAATATTTGAACAAGTTATTTTAAAATTTAAAAACCCACATTTTTCAGCCAAGTATTTTGTATTTTGTAAATTCATGTTGTTTTCTGAATTTTTTCTATTAAGGAAAAAAACCCCACAACTTTAAAAATTATACTTTCATAGCAGTTTTCCTCTCACTATTTAAAAAATGCCAGATTTTAATATTCCTCTTTGTGAAAACATTTAATCTTGAAATTTTGAATATGATCCAATATATTTCTAAAGAAAGTAAAAATACATTCCAGTAAAATGAAATTATTTATTTAATCCAAAATACACTTTTTTTTGTCCTGCCTGTGAACCAAACATTCCATTATCTGTATTACACTCAAAGAACTTTAATCTTCACACACCTCCATCTTGATCATGTGTTTGATGATCTTCAACCCCAATTTTAAGATCTAATGCTTTTGTCATTTGTTAGTGATGCAGGTAATGAACAAAATTAATCATGGACAAGAACTTTGTAGCAGAAGTCATGAGTGTGTGGCTTGTGATGACAGGTCTCTGAACCCCCAAACAAATTTTCCTATTGTAAAGTGGCATCTAGAGCTTCTATGATCTAACTCTCGCTCACTTGTTTCCCCCTTAGTCCATAAAAAAATTAATCTCCCAAGTAGCCCATCAGCTGCTGTGAGCTTGTGGGTGCCTGTTAGTTGTGCTGGGGTGTGTATGGCCTTGGCTGTGCCTGAGGCTGAGCTCACAGACAGGCACTGACCACATGCTTGTTGAAGGGAATGTCTTCTGGAGAGCTCTCCAGAGCATATGTGGGAACTTGCAGCTTTCCTCTTGTTTTTCTGAAGGTAGACTGATGATTTTAGGTCTTATGTGAATGGGTCAGTGGAAAGAAGTAGTCAGAAACTTAACTTAAAAGACCCAAAGATGTAAAATAATGGTCCATTTAATATGACTTTTCTATCAGCTGCATCTTTTTGTTTTCAACATCATTATTAATACCATGAACATTATATATATAACAAAAAACCCCAACAGCTTAAAGAAAGAGAAAATGTCTCCCTCAGTCATTAGTATGAACATTATGCATACTAATATATGCAATATCTGTGAGTTTGAAAACTCCTTTGAAAATCAGTCTACTCACTTGTAAGGTGGGTGTAATTTTCCTTGACTTTTTGAAGGTTAATTATTTACTTTTTGCATACTACATTAAAGAGTTAAACTTTAACATAGGTACTATCAGTGTTACTATAATATTAAAATAAGTATACATAAAGAATCATATAGTGTCGCCTAAAGTTATAATAGGTTCCTATGAAAACTATCACTACAGGTTGCTTGCAATCTTGCATTAGGTAATCATAGTGAGATTAAACAAGGTTAAAATTTCCATAAGGAAAAAAAAAAGAATTGGTTTACTTTTATAAGCTATTCCTTGACATTGTTCTTTATATTCTGAAAAAAAAAAAAAATCACAGATTTAGTCAAAGTTTCCAGGACAGTGAATCCAATAAAAAGTTTAGTTTTGTGAAATGCTGAACATGTAACTTTTTGCTAATGACAATTTTTGGAATTTGTTTTAAATGAAAGATACAATTTTCTTCTTAGAACATTATCACACCTGCTACTTTTGATCACAGTCATCCTGCCAAAAGTTTGTTTCTTTTCCCATACCTCATGATGCTCATCTTTTAATTTCCTCAGGGCTTTCATTCTAAATCATAATAGTTGCTCCCCTTAGTCCCTTCAAACTGGGTGAAGAACTCTGTGATGGAAGTTATATAAGAGGATTGCTTTTTGTATATACGAAGTGTTTCCTTTACAGAGTATTTCTGGGAGTCTTCTACGTGAAAATGCAGTGTCCTGACAATATCTAGCCAGATGTACAATATTTTCCTGAAATTTAGATAAATCTTCAGACTTTTTTTTTTTTTCCAGCTAATCCTTTGTTTGTTATATATTCAGCCTCCTTTGGGGGCCAAATTTTTTTTTTTTTTTTTTTTTTTTTTTTTTTTCAGGAAGCTTAATAACAAAGGGGAAAGATTCTTTTTTTTTTTTTTTTTTTTTTTTTAAAAAAAAAAAAAAAAAGAAAAAGTCTTCATTCTGTAACTCTACCTACTTGTAACCCAGGGCTAGGTCATATCATTAACTTAAATTATAAGAAAATACATATGTAAGATACTGACTCTCTCTCTAGGCTGTTCAACAAAATTTGATGCATAGTCCAATGCACGAGTATATATTTTTGCCTTTGCCAGCAAAAAAGAATAAAAGCAACCAGTCAGTTAATAGAGACTACAACTGTAAACTCTTTGTGTGAGCTGGGCATGGAATAGGAGGGCTCTTGCCATGTATTCACCTTTTTACAAGGACCTATGTCAATCTTGTATTTTGCCAATAAGTACCTGACTCTACAAAATACTACTCAGCCTGTCCCCCATTAGGGGACTTGTAAGGTTTTTCAGAAAAACCCAAAGAATCCTCCAGTTTTCCTGTCTCTGTAACATCTGCTCTCATATCTAATCCCATTCTGGATGAATTCTTACTTGATGGTGCATCACATTTGTAATATTTATATAGCAAGTAACCAATGTCCCTCTAATTATGAACTGGGACGATTCCTGACAAACCCAGCAACACAGAAATTTTACAGGCAGCAGCAGGATTAGTTCAAGCTGCTGAAGGAGGATAAGATTAAATGAGAAAAGTTGTGGGAAGAATTGCAGCAGGAAAGAAGTTCAGTCAAAAAGCATTACTAAATGCAGAAGAGTAGATGAAAGTTGACACTAGAAGTTTCCTGCTGTCATTTTCTCTTCAGAGGATGAAATGGAAGACTCCAGCATGGATCACACTCAAACTACAGTTACACATACCAACATTTTATAATGGCTTAACTCTCCATCTTGTTCACCTCCCTCCCTTTAGTTTTAAGCAATTTCTATCAGCCTTTATGATGGCATGAGCCAGGATATGCTACTGAAGACAAATGTTTCATATTAGAAATCTGAACCCCATCAGTTGGAAACCAGAGCTGTACTCCTACTGCAGGTGTTCTTTCTAG